CCCATCCAACTTCCTCCATCCATGTTCCTCCTCCCATCCCCGTTCCTCCTCCCACCCAAGTTCTTCTCCCATCTAACTTCTCCCATCCACATTCCTCCTCCCATCCAACTTCTCCCATCCACGTTCCTCCTCCCATCCAAGTTCCTCCTCCCATCCAACTTCTCCCATCCACATTCCTCCTCCCATCCAACTTCTCCCATCCACGTTCCTCCTCCCATCCAAGTTCCTCCACCCATCCAACTTCTCCCATCCATGTTCCTCCTCCATTCCAAGTTCCTCCACCCATCCACGTTCCTCCTCCCATCCAAGTTCCTCCACCCATCCACGTTCCTCCACCCATCCAAGTTCTTCTCCCACCCAAGTTCTTCTCCCAGCACCCTCTTCCTCCCGCCGAGCCTTCACCACGCTCGCCCCGCAGGCACCCTGCTGGCCGAGCTCCGCGAGTACAACCTGGAGCAGCAGCGGCGGGCGCAGAGCGAGGCGCCCTCGCCCGAGGGCCTCCCCGAGGAGCAACCGCCCAGCGCCAAGCTCAAGGGCAAGATGCAGAGCCGGTGAGCGCGCCCGCACCCGGCGCCCCCGCCGCGCCCGCCTGGGCGCTGACGCCGCCCGTGTCCCCGCAGCTTCGACACGGCCGAGAGCGTGGTGATCGTGGCGTCGCAGAAGCGGGCGCTGGGCGGCCGCGAGCTGCAGCTGCCCTCCATGGCCGTGCTCACGTCCAAGACGTCCACGCAGCGCTTCTTCCTGCGCGTGCTGCAGGTCATCATCCAGCTGCGCGACGACACGCGCCGCGCGCACAAGAAGGCCAAGCAGCCCGCGCGCCTGGGTGAGGACCCCCCAACCCCCCCGCGCCCCCCAAATTCGTCCCCCCCGCCGCGGGGTGCTGACGGTGCCACCCGTAGGTGCCGGGGCGCTCGGGGCGGCGGGCAGCATCCAGGCCGCCGTGCGGCAGCTCGAGGCCGAGGCCGACGCCATCATACAAATGGTACGGGAGGGCCGCCGGCCTTCCTCCCCGCTCCTCCTCCTCCTCCTCCTGCCTTCCCCTGGTCCCCTTTATCCCGCTCCGCCGCCTCATCTTCTCC